CCATAGTGATCATTCACCAACCACCGGGTTATAAAAAGACAGTTTTCTAGGCTTAAAGCTGACGGATGACGATTATTCTGCACTTTCTTTTGGGATCACGCGACGGTTGTATGTCGATGTACTTTTGTGATACTTATTTGGTTCGTGAGCTTGGCAATAAGCGTTATGGTTTCAACTATCCTTGCCGGAAATCCATAAATTAAAATAATAAAATAACCTAATGGTGCCAATAATTATTGGCGGTGCTAAAACAACGAAAATATCAAATGCGAACAAAGGTAAATCTAAAACTTGATACCATTTTTCCTCATATCACGGATATATACACTTCCATCGATGTAAAAGAAATTGGTGAACCCCAGCTACAGACGGACGAAAGAGCCCATAGGCGATAAACTGTATGGAAAATTCATCTAAGGCTATACATTCTGAGCAACCTGTGATCAGCTATAAGAATGAATCATTATTAAGGAAAGTGAGATTGTGATAGCTTCCGTTTCCAGCCTAAGCAATCATTACCCAAACAGTTTCATGCAGTGATTTTAGTTGCTGCCTTTTGGCCGGCTATTTGGATGAAGGAGTAGAAGGATAGGAAAGTTGAAAATAGAGTCGAAGACAAAATGGAGAATTTCAGTGGATAAAGGCTGCAAAGAAATTGCGATGATGCACGGGCACCACTGTTTAGGACACTTAACCATATCACTCAGTGTCTCTAACCATTGATTACAATGATCCCGAGGTCCCCATCCAGGGAAACCGACGCGATCTATATGACCAAGTCTCCTGGTTAGGTTTTTGAAGCCCCCATGTCAGATCTGTTTGATCAGCGTTAGCTTTTTTCCACCCACTGTGGTGGGCAAAAACTAAACCGAATAGCATAACTTGAGTGTGCACATAAATGCCTCACAAAAATGTGCGAAGGTCGCTTAGGATTTTCAACGTATTTGGGATGAAAGAAGTGGGACTGAGGAGTTTTATTCACCGTATTAACTAGTCTCACCAATGCTAAGAATAAAGCGTGCTCCCAAAACACTGAGTCACGAAGAACGCTTGAAAACTCTATCAAACAATGAATTTCTTGATTTTTGGTACCATCCCTCCATAAAATTTATAATGGAGAATGTTTGTTACAATCAGAGGTGCGAAACAGACCTCAGAAATGAAAAATCGTGGACTGTGATGATAATTTTATGCCCAAATGATTTAAACTTAGTATAAACTACTGAGACGAAAACCAATCATTTTCCCAACATCCATGAACAGGCAAACGAAACAAATAGGTACGGTACAGTTATACAATGCTAGGCTGACACGCATCGTTTTGTTTGCACATTCTATTACGCACGCATGTCTGTCAAAACAATGTGGTCCCCATTACCAACGATAGCAAAACTAACATCATGCCTATGTATAAACCTGTAAAATAGGTAGACATGCACAAAAGTGTGCCAACATTACGTGTTCAGCAGACACGCGGGAGTTCTCGACGTCGTAGTAGTGAAATTGCCGCAAATTTAAATTTGCGTTTATACACACACACACACACACACACACACACACACACACACACACGAAACGCAGTCCAGT